TTTGTACACATCATAAAAGCAGTTTCTCATTCTTTTGAACAAGTTGCGATTGCTTTGGTACATTCATGCAATTGATTATGTACATTTATCTGCGGTTTCCTACATGATCAGTTGCTAATGTCATGTTGCTCAAAATGTATTATATAGCTTTCTGTGCAATAGTCTTACCCCTCAAAACATCTAGTCTTTAGTTCATCGTATAAGTCATTAAATGCAAAATGGTTGAACTGGTTGTCATAAAGTGTCAAGCACATTTTTTACACATTATAATTAGACTTTTTTGTAAATTTAGCATGAATTGTGCAAGTGAATCTTGACTTTCACTAATGAAGAGAATTGATAAACCATTTCTCTGAAATAGCTTCATCTCATAAATCTTCTGAGATTTATGAGATGGTTCATCTCATAAACCTTCTGTTGGAAAGCATATACTGTACAGACAGAGGACAACACAAGAGTTACAAATTCTGACAATGGACTTTCTTATTTTTTTTTATTTTCATCTTTGTGCCCATATTTCTTTTTCCTTTTCTATATCACAATGACATTGGATCACAAATGCAGACAGAGTTTTATGTTTACGCGACGCTATGCAATGCAACGCAACGCGTAAAAAAACAGTATTAAGTCATTATAATCAGTAATTATGTCCCCACTGGATGCAACAAATGCCTCGTTTATAATGGGTTTTAATGTTTTAACTGTTGCCGTAGTTTACATCAGGTAATACAAACAGAGTGCAGTGTTATATTGACAACAAGACTAAGCATTTTGCCTATCTTGTTTGTGAACAATGACGCAAGGACTTTTCATTCTGATGGCACTGATATGTTCATTGACAAATACTTACTTTTGAGAGATGAACTAAAGATTTTGAGTAAGTTACAGGCTTTTGCAGGAAATCCATTGTGTGGTGCTGTTTGTACGAATTGTTTTGAGAAATGCACACACTTCTTTGCAAATATTAAGGATGATTCGAGAAATGCACCAAAGTGACTGAGAAAAACTGTAAGAAATGCAGCCTTATGCATTTCAATACAGTAACTGTCATCCAAACTGTTGCCATAGTTTTTAGTATCAGGTAATACTAACAGAGTGCACTGTTATATTGACAACATGACTAAGCATTTTGACTATCTTGCTTGTGAACAATGACACAAGGACTTTTCATTCTGATGGCACTGATAT